GCCGTCTCCTTGTGATTGGTCCAAAGTCAGTCAGCCGCCATTCATGCCTAAGGCGGGAGTAGAACTCGCCGTCTCCTTGTGATTGGTCCAAAGTCAGTCAGCCGCCATTCATGCCTAAGGCGGGACTAGAACTCACAGACTTCTACTGATTGGTCCAAAGTCAACTAACTACCGTATTTTCGGAGTATAAGACGCACCAAGGTTTTGAAGAGGCAAATTGGGGGGAAAAAATGTTTTTCCACTCTGCGAACCTCCCAAAAATGGCTCGTTTTTCATGAAAATGGACCTGTTTTTTTTTTAAAGGCATGAATAGCCCTTAAGAGGCTTGTAAAGTGTTCCTGGGGGGTGGGGCCCCCTCAAAACGAGCAAAAAACGGCCCGTTTTTCATCCAAAAAAAGGGCATTAGGAAGCTTATAGATTGCTCCTGGGAGGGGGGTAAAATTAAGCAAAAGGGGGGCTGGTTTTGGCTCATTTTTGCCCTCCCCAACTCCCAGGAGCACTTTGCAAGCCTCCCAAACCCTCTGCGTGTCCATTTTGGTGAAGGGGGCGGGGCTTTGGGAGGGCCAAAATGCTGCATTCAGTGTATAAGCCGCACCCAGATTTTCGGCCTCTTTTTTTTTGAGGGGCGTCTTACACTCCGAAAAATACAGTAGCTTTCAGGTCTTAAGTTGGGACTAGAACTCGCCGTCTCCTGGTGATTGGCCCGAAGTCACCTAGCTGGCTTTTGGGGCCTAAGGTGGGACTAGAACTCACCATCTCCTGCTTTCTAACCTGGGAGCTTTAACCGGAACGCCAGCCTTTGGATATTTGACCCCGGTTTCAATTTTCACTCATGGGTTCTGAAGTCTGTTTTTAATCAGTGCTCGGAGCCATGCGCTTTCGGGGTTTTATCGGGATGTTAGAAGCCACCCAGAGTCACTCTGGTATGATGGGCGGTGTGGGAAACTGAGGAAACCAATGCAGAGTGCCTTTCATTTCTGAACAGACCTGGAGGTCCTGTATTGGAGGAACATGAAGGAGCGCCTGGCGGCCCAGAGGAGGCTGCAGAAGAGGATGGTGAGTGTGGAGGCTCCTTCCTTCCTTCCTTCCTTCCTTCCTTCCTTCCTTCCTTCCTTCCTTCCTTCCGCCTCTCTGGCTTAGGTGCTCAGGTTTCCTTCCACCTGCAAGAGCTTTTACAATTGGATGATGTTCCCTAGTTGGGTCATGAAACGTCGGCAAGAAACCCACCAAGCTCAGAGAGCACCCAGGACCTCACAATTATCCTCCTCCTCCTCCAACCCCCCTCCCTTCCAACACTGATGATAGTTGACTCTAGTTGGGTCATGAAACATCTACAAGAAAACCACCAAGCTCAGAGAGCACCAAGGACCCCATGGTCCTCCTCCTCCTCCTCCCCCTGCTCCTCCCCCCCTCCTTTCTAACACTGATGATAGTTGAGTCTAGTTGGGTCATGAAACATCTACAAGAAAACCACCAAGCTCAGAGAGCACCAAGGACCCCATGGTCCTCTCCTCCTCCTCCTCCTCCCCCTGCTCCTCCCCCCCTCCTTTCTAACACTGATGATAGTTGAGTCTAGTTGGGTCATGAAACATCTACAAGAAAACCACCAAGCTCAGAGAGCACCAAGGACCACTCCTCCTCTTCCTTCTCCTCCCCACACTGCAAATCCTATTCCCTCTAGCACTAATGATGTTCCCTAGCTGGGTCATGAAACGTCTGCAAAGGGACAGTTCGGCCCTGAGCTACAAATCCTCTTGTACGGCGGATGCTAAAGCAGGGCCCTTTTTAAGACACAGCCGGCCCCTCTTCACCGTGCAGAGCCAGGGCTGTGGCCCGGAGACCTCCTAGGTCCAAGGAAAACAGTCCTGATCTTGGGCCAAAGCGAGATCAGGGTGGCCTCCTTTCTCCCCCCCTCTTGAACCAGGGCCTGCATCTGGAGGCGCAGTTGGAGGAGCTTGGCGCTCATGAGATGGACCGGGAGGAGGAGGAGGAGGAGGACTTGGACGCTGCGGCTGCTGCCGACGATGGGCCAGGTACGTCTCCCGCACTGCCAGGGGGCGGCCCTCTCTCCTTGCCAAGGACTTGCATTTTGAGCACGACTCGGGATGCAAGTGTGAGGAATGGCCATAAGTCGCCTTTCTCAGTTCATTCATTCAGTGTAACGCTGAACGGTCGCTAAAGGAATGGTTGTAAGTTGAGGACCGTACTGGGCCTGGTTTGGCTAGAACGTCTTTGCTTTCACAGAGGACCTTGTGGCGGATGAGGAGATCCCCCCACTGGAAGCCTCCGAAGGGATGCCAGGTGGCGTGGCAGGTAACGGCTGGGCAAATGGGCCCCTTCCTGTACCCAGGGCATCCCCCCACCCATCTTTCCATTCAATCATCCATGCATCTACCTATCCATCTACCCATCCACCCAACTATCCATCCATCTTTCCATTTAACCATCCATCCATTCTTCCAATCATCCATCCATCCACCAACCCTTCCATCCATCCATCTTTCAGTTCAATCATCCATCCATCTTTCAGTTCAATCATCCATGCATCTACTCACCCTTCCACCCATCCAACAAGCCAACCATCTTTCCATTTAACCATCCATCCATTCTTCCAATCATCCATCCACCAACCCATCCATCTTTCCATTCAATCATCCATGCATCTATCTTTCCAGCCATCCTTCTATTCAACCATCCACCCAATTATCCAACCATCTTTCAATTCAACCATCCATCCTTCTATTCAACTATCCAGTTATCCACCCAACTATCCATCCATCCATCTACCCATCCATCCATCTTTCCATTTAACTATCCATCCATTCTTCCAATCATCCATCCATCCACAAACCCTTCCATCCATCCATCTTTCCATTCAATCATCCATCCATCCATCATTCCATTTAACCATGCATCCATTCTTCCAATCATCCATCTACCAACCCTTCCACCCACCCATCTTTCCGTTCAATCATCCATGCATCTACCCACCCTTCCATCCATCCATCTACCCATCCAACCCACTATCCATCCATCTTTCCATTCAATCATTCATGCATCCATCTAACCATCCATCCAGCCATCCTTCTATTCAACCATCCACCCAACTATCCATCCATCTTTCAGGTCAACCATCCATCCTTCTATTCAACTATCCAGTTATCCACCCAACTATCCATCTTTCCATTCAACCATTCATCCAGCCATCCTTCTACTCAACCATCCATCCACTCAACTATCCATCCAGCCATCTACCCATCCAAAATGTCAGGGCTCCAAGTAACACCCCCAACGAAATCTATGCCATCTCTAATAAATTTCAAACTTTGAGGAGAATGCCTGCCTTGGGGCTTTGATTTACTTGGAGCCCTGATACAAGGGCCCATCCGTCTACCCGTCCTTCCATCCAGTCAACCCCCCACCCACCGCCTGCCCCATCCATCCACCCACCTTCTGGGCTGGGGAAAGAGGGGAGAAGCGCAGAGATTCCCCAGGGGAAAGTGGGAGGGACCCCCTCACTTTCTCCCTTTGCTTTCAGATCCTGGTGGAATCCCCTCTTCCCTGAGCTACGAGGAGCTGGTCAACAGGAACGTGGTACGAAAAGACAGCTTAGATTTGGGGGAGGGGGCTTCTTTCTGGAACCACATTCTCCCCGAGGGAGGGAGGGAGGGATGGCTGCCGCCCTCCCCCTTCCTTTCCCCGAAGGCTCCCAAGGAGGCTTGGCCAGCCGAGCTGGTTCCTTCCCTTCCCCGTGAGAGACGCTCCCTTTCCCCCTGCCCGTTTCAGGAGCTCTTCATGGCCCACTCCCAGAAGTACGCCCGGGAGACGGTGCTGTCCCGGAGGGTCCGCGACTGGGAGGAGATGATGGGCCCGCAGCTGGAGGAACAGGTGAGGCCAGGAACAGAGAGGACAACACACACACACACACACACACACACACACACACACAAACATACACACACACACCCAAGGGGTAGAGAGGACCTTACTGGTGCTGTGCTTAGAATGATGCAAAGCACCATGAAGTGGTATATAGGTCTAAGTGATAATTGCTAAGGAAGGAAAAGAGAGAAGGAAAAAGAGTAAAGAAGGAAGATGATTGGGAAGGAAGGAAAAAAGGGAGGTAGGAAAGATGATTTGGGAAGGAGAGAAAGAAAAAAGCGAGGAAGGAGGGAAGATGATTTGGGAAAGAAAGAAGGAAGGAAAAAAGAGTAAGTAAGGAAGATGGTTTGGGAAGGAAGGAAGGAAGATGATTGAGAAGAAAGGAAAGATAAAAAAGCGAGGAAGGAGGGAAGATGATTTGAGAAAGAAGGAAGGAAAAAAGAGGAAGGAAGGAAGGAAGATGGTTTGGGAAGGAAAGAAGGAAGATGATTGAGAAGGAAGGAAAGAAAAAAAAGTGAGGAAGGAGGGAAGATGATTTGGGAAAGAAGGAAGGAAAAAAGGGAGGAAGGAAGATGGTTTTGGAAGGAAGGAAGGAAGACGATTGAGAAGGAGGGAAGGAAAGAAAAAAGCGAGGAAGGAAGATGATTTGGGAAAGAAAGAAGGATGGAAAAAAGAGGGAGGAAGGAAGATGGTTTGGGAAGGAAGGAAGGAAGACGATTGAGAAGGAAAAAAAAGCGAGGAAGGAGGGAAGATGATTTGGGAAAGAAGGAAGGAAGGAAGATGGTTTGGGAAGGAAGGAAGGGATTGAGAAGGAAGGAAAGAAAGAAAAAAGCGAGGAAGGAAGGAAAGTGCAGGATAATTCTGCATCCCCATTGGCAGAAGTTCTGACCAGCTCAAGGTTGACTCAGCCTTCCGTCCTTCCGAGGTGGGTAAAACGGGGACCCAGATTCTTGGCGGAGCAAGAGGCTGACTGTCGGCCGCTTCGAGGGGGGCTCTGAACCAGCATAGAAGCCTGAAGTGCTGGGGCATCCAACTCTCCCTTCTCCTTGCACAGGAAGCCCGCGCCGCCTTCGACATCCACAAGTACGGAGACCAGCTGGTGTCCCGGTTCAGCCGCGTGGGCGAGTGGCATTCCTTTGCCAGCCTGATGGCAGGGCAGCCGGCCTTTGAGATCTGCCGGGCCATGTTGGCCTCCCTGCAGCTGGTGAGGATGCCTGCAACCTGTAAGGGGCCGGGAGGGAGGGAGGCAGGGGGAGCCAGGCCACTGCCCCACAGGGAGAGATCAGGACCAGCGGGATAAAACTGTAAGGAACCTCATGACTGGGGCAAGCTGGCGGCCAGGGCGGCACGTTGCCCCACAGAGGGGAGGGCCACCCTACGTGGGAGGATTTTGTGCCTAGTTGAATGTCTGTTGCTGAGCAGGGCTCTCCAAAAGTAGCAACTAAAATTGTGGACTTCAACTCCCAGAGTTCAATTCTCACTCGGGAATTCTGGGAGTCGAAGTCCACAAGTCTTAAAAGTTGCTCAATCTGGACAGCTGGCTGGCTGGGGGATTGTGGGACTAAAAGCCCACCTCTGCATGTCCAAAGCTAAGTAGCAGCACGGCTTCAGGAGACAACAGGAGTGACTATTTCTGGCTCAGGGGCTGAACTGCGTGGTCCTCGGTGCTCTGGCAGACGTCTCATGAGCCAGCTAGGTAACATCACGAGTGCTAGGAGGGAGTTTGGGGAGTGCAGGAGAAGGAGGGGAAAGAGAAGCAGAAGAGGGGAGGAAGAGGAGGAGGACTGTGGGGTCCTTGGTTCTCTTTGAGCTTGGAGGTTTTCTTGAAGACGTTTCATGACCCAACTAGGGAACATCATCAGTGCTAGAAGGGAGGGGGGTTTGCCAAGTGGAGGAGGGGGAGGACTGCAGGGTCCTTGGTGTTCTCTGAGCTTTGTGGTTTTCTTGGAGACATTTCATGACCCAACTAGGGAACATCATCAGACTTAAAAGAATTGGACTAGAAGGCTTCTAAACACTGATGGTGTTCCCTAGACAGGTCATGAAACGTCTGCAAGGAACACCCCCCCCCCCTCCAAAGCTCAGAGAGCACCAAGGACCCCACAATCCTCCACTCCACTACCCCTGCTCCCTTCTAGCACTCATGATGTTACCTAGTTGGGTGATGAAATGCCTGCAAGAACCCACCACCAAAGCTCAGAGAGCACCACGGACCCCCCACACACTGGACCCTTTCATCCCCGAAACCTTGTGTGTCCCTTCAGGCCAACGACTACACGGTGGAAATCTCGCAAGGGCCAGGCCTGGAAGAAGCCGTCGACACCATGGCGCTGCGGCTCTTGACCCAGGAAAAGGCCCACCAGCGCTTCCACACATACACGGCCCCCTCGCTCAGCAAGCAGTGACGCCTCTCCTCTGCGCCTGTATCTGTGTACATATGTACATATATATATATATTTATATATATTTGCATGTATGTAAATGTTATGAAACCTGTATAGCTTCTCCTGCCCCCCCCCCGAAAAATATATATGTTAGCAGTGGGTTCTGCTTCCCCCCCCAATAAAAGGTGACTTGTAGAGATGCAATTTGCGTTCCTTTTTGACCACACACCTTTTTAAGCGTCCTCTAGTTGCAGGGGTCTCTAACACTGGCAACTTTGAAGACTTGTGGACTTCAACTCCCAGAATTCCTCAGCCAGCCCCCACCCTCTCAACCAAGACCCAGATGGGACCCTCAGAGCCAGAAGGGTGGGTGGGGGTGAACATTTCCCCCCCGCAAACGTGTTCTGTACACCTCCTGCCCCCCCATCCCTGTTTTGCCACTCTGTAAGAGTCAGCCCTTCGCCACCAATTGCCCTTCCAGGAGCCTGCACTACAATTCCCATGTTCCTTGGCCAGGAAGCCCTTTCGCTTGGCTATTGGGGGGGTGGGGGTGGGGGGGGTGCTGAAACCAAACTCAGCCATGTGTTCGGGACGAACCAGATAAACGGTTCAATGGTTGTGTCAACTTTTAAGTAACTTTTGAAAAGTTGCCTGGACTTCAACTCCCAGAATCCCCCAGTTAGAAGGGGCAGCCCCCCCTCCTCTCTTTCTTTTCGTGATTTCACTTTTTATTAGTTTTATCAAAGTATAAAATACAAAGGAAAAAAGAAACATGGAGAAAAAGGAGGGATGTTGCGTGAAACTAAACCCCAGGCAGCTTCTGATATGCTTGAACCGAAGGGGAAAAGGAGCGTTCAGGTACTCCTCAACATACGACCGTGGTCCCAGGTCGTAAAACGGGTCGGTCACGCAACTGCCCTGATTTTATGACCCATTTTGCAGCAGCCCCCAAGCGAGTCCGATGGTTTGCTACGGGAAACAGTTCAGCCAAAGTTTTCAGCACGACCGTCGTAAAACACGGGGTAGCCGTGTTGCCAGGTGTCCAAAATCCAGTCACGTGACCACAGGGAGGGACCCAACCACCGGACCCTCTAATCCAAAAGATTTCTGAGGAGCCCCCTTTTTTCAGTTGGTCGGAATTCAAAGACTGTACTTGCAACAGTTTGTTTAGCGACCAAAGTTAGACCACCACTGAAAAAAGTGACTTATGACTGTTTTTCACAATTACGACCATTGCAGTGTTTTTGCAACACTTGGCAACTGACTCGTATTTATGCCAGTTGCAGTGACCTGTGTGTGTGTGTTTGTGTGTCTCATGCAATCCCCTTTTGCGACTTTCCGACAAGTCGACAGGGGAGGCAGGATTCACTTCAAGCCGTGCGACTATAGCCGAAGAACTGCAGGGATTCACTTAACTGCAACAAGAAAGGTTGTAAAACAAGGCAAAGCTCGCTGAATGAGCGTCTCACTTAGCCACAGAAATGCTGGGCTCAACTGCGGTCGTAACTCGAGGACTAGCTGTGTTATACAAACACCGCCTGGATGCAAATTTTTAAAAAGGGAAACGCCGGTCAAATATGCAGACGATACGGAAACACCATTTCAGAGCTTGATTATTGTTACCTCTATAATCCCCGCAAAACCAGCCATCCAAAACGGCACGCAGGTCTGCAAACACACCCACACGCACACACACTTCCCCCTTGGGTCGAGTGTCCCAAACGAAACCCGTCCCACCCCCCAGTCCTCTCGCCACCTTCCCTCCTCCTGGCTCAGGCGAGGAGGCTCTTGTAAGTCGCCATGTGTCCCCGGATGCTCTCCGCGACCTTCACGTCCGTCTTGTAGCGGTTGTAGTAGTCCAAGAAGAGGCCGTCCGGACTGAGCAGGTAGAGGATGACCGTGTGGTCTACCAGATAATCGTCGTCCTGGTCTTTGGGGCCGGTGCTATAGTAGACACGGTAAGACCGTCCGGCCTCCCGCACCTGTTCGGGTGTGCCGGTCAGCCCCCGCAGCCGCGGGTGGAACTCCTTCACGTACTTGGCCACGGCCTCCACCGTGTCCCGCTCGGGGTCCACAGTGATGAAGATCGGCTGGAGACGGGGCAGTTTGGGGTCGGCGTCCAACATGTTCACCACTCGACTCATCTTCTCCAGCTCTTCCGGACAGATATCCGGGCAGTGAGTAAAGCCGAAGTAGAGAAGGATCCAGCTGCCTTTGAGGTCCTCCTTGGAGCAAGGACGCCCGGTGTGGTCCACCAGCTGGAAGTTGCCTTGCCCGACAGCCACTTTCCTCAACTCCTCGATGCGCTTCTGCTTCTCCTGCTCTTCCTTCTCCGACCGGAAGTACAGCCAGGCCAGGACCAGCTGAAGGGTTATGATGGAGACCACCAGCAGACGGGTCCTCAGGGGATACTGGCGCTCCGGTCGGGGGCCCTGAGAGTGGCCTTGGGAGGAGGGTCTCCAGAGGGTCAAAGCAGGCTGGCCAGCGGGAGCCGAGAGGCGGAAATTGTCCACCCTCCAGAAGGGAGAGGACCGCCAGGCTGGATGGCAGGCAGAAGCAGCAAGGGGACTTAGACAGCGGGAAGGTGGGTGGGGACAGCCAGGCAGGCTCCTCCACCAGAGGGCGGAGCTGGCTCCCAGCCGCCAAGGCCTCAGCCTGGCCCAGCACTGAAACATGCCCCAAAGCGCTGGAAAGACAAAAGACAGGAATTACTGGAGGATTCAGTTTGCATTTCCCGATCACGAAAATGCTGCTCTTCTTTTACAATGCAAGCTGGAATGAAGGAGAAACTTCATTGTTCTGTCGGGAAATTCCTCCTTATTTCTAAGTTGCTTCTCTCCTTGATTAGTTTCCACCCATTGCTTCTTGTCCTGCCCTCAGGGGCTTTGGAGAACAGCTTGACTCCCTCTTCTTTGTGGCAGCCCCTGAGATATTGGAAGACTGCTATCATGTCTCCCCTGGTCCTTCTTTTCATTAAACTAGACACACCCAGTTCCTGCAACCGTTCCTCGTATGTTTTAGTCCCCTAATCCTCTTTCTTGCTCTTCTCTGCACTCTTTCTAGAGTCTCCACATCTTTTCTACATCGTGGCCACCAAAACTGGATGCAAATATTCCATGTACGGCCTTACCAAGGCCTTGTAAAGTGGTATTAACCCTTCATGGGATCTGACCCCCTGCTTCTTTGGGGCAACTGCTGAGATATTGAAAGACTGCTATCCTGTCTCCCCTGGTCCTTCTTTTCATTAAACTAGACACACCCAGTTCCTGCAACCGTTCTTCGCATGTTTTAGTCCCCTAATCCTCTTTGTTGCTCTTCTCTGCACTCTTTCCAGAGTCTCCGCATCTTTTTTATATTGTGTTGACCAGAACTGGATGTTAATATTTCAAGGTGTGGTATAGAGAGAGAAATGTGGTGCAGCTGCTTTGAAACTCCTCAGATTTCTCAATAGATTTTAGACTGTGTTAGTTAAAACCCCATACCGTGTACGGGTTCTGGGAAGTGGGGGGGGGGGGAAGGAGGAGGGGGCTGG